GCGTAACATAAATATATATTTTTTGGGGTGGGGAAACAACTATATTTGTCGATGTGTAATGAAATTAGAGTGAAATTTTTACATTTTTTTTGGAGAAGAAAATACTAATGGATTAGAATTTCAAATTCATTGTTGACATATCAACGAATGTGCCAAATATTAATAATATTTATAACAATGTTGTTTGTTTGCTATAAATTTTGCATTTCTGAAAAAAATCATACTATTCGTTGATCACTAATCTGATCGAATGTAGAACTGCGAAGCCGAAGTCTATTTGTCGATGTCCAGGCTGATTAATGGTATCAAAGTCTGTGTCTTAAATTAGAAAATTTGTCAGATCCGAAAATACCAAGTTTTAGGAAAGTGATATTATTTTTATAGCTACTGCAGAACTGTAAATTTTTGTAGAATGTTAATTAAAGCCCTAAATGCGAAATTTTAACTGCAATCTTTGTAGGAAAATGTAAAAAAAAAATACCGAAAAAAATAAAAAAAATGTCGTAAGTAAATTGGTTACTCAATGGCACTCAGGGGCTTCTTTCTTTTAAAAACTCAATTTGATACGTTGTGCAAAATTTCGTGTTAATCGGTCAAACATTAGAACTTTGGTGCACCATTTATGTAAAATTGGACAAATATACATGTATGTGTGGGAGCTATATCGAAATCTGAACCGATTTTCCCGTAACTTACCACACATCTTTTTAGACTCAATTCAGTACGATATGGCAAATTTCGTGCAAATCGAAGCATATATAGGGTCATAAAATCGGACGATAATATATATGTGAGACTATATCGAACATGAACCGATTTTCACTAAACTTGGCGCACATCATTCTAGACTCAATTCAGTACACAGTGCCAAATTTCGTGCAAATCGAAATCAATAGAGGTACTTTAGTGAACCATTTACCTAAAATCGGACCATAATATATATGGGCTTTATATCTAAATCTGAAACTATTTTTGCGAAACTTAACACACATTATTCTAGACTTAATTCAGAACGATATACCAAATTTCGTGCACATCGAAGGAAATATAGGGACATTGGAGCACCATTTACATTAAATCGGACGAAAAGATGTGGGAGCTATATCTAAATCTGAACCGATTTTCACGATATATAATCTATTTTTTTGGCCAAACTCATGCACAAACTTTTATGCCACATGTACCGTCATATAGAGGCATTAACACATGACCATAAAAAAGTTTTGTTTTCGTTAGATTTCCCAAAATTTGACAATATCACAAAAAAGGCTCGGGTCGATGAATGCAAAGACATTTAAAAAACCAGTAAGGAAAGTAGTAAAGTCGGGCTGGGCCGACTATATGATACCCTTCACCACTTTGGGTATATTCCACATATGTATCCAGCTTAGCAACATCATTTTAGACTTAATTCAGTACTTCAGTAGTGTTGGCGGTTTATTTGGGATACCATTTATATTTTGTTTAAAAAAAAAAAAAAAAAACAATTTATTAGTGGGGAATGTATGGCATTGATTGCCGAGAGGTAAGCAGGGAAGACTATAGTTTCGGATCAAGCCACTGATCCTCATCAGTTCCCTTAGTTTTTTGTTGGGATATTCTCCCCAGAAGCTATTGCTTCTATACAAAAAACCTTTCAAACCCAAATGTCTCTTGTAACAACGCGAAGTACTTAGCTGACCAACGTACCCTATACCAAAATTCGTGCAAATCGAAAGATATATAGGGACTTTGGTGCACCAATTACATAAAATCGGACGAAAATATATATGGGAGCTATATCTAAATCTGAACCGATTTTCACGAAACTTTGCAACATCATTCTAAACTTAATTCAGTACGCTATGCCAAAATTCGTGCAAATTAAAAGATTTCCAAGGACTTTGGTGCACCAATTACCTACAATCGGGCGAAAATATATATGGGAGCTATGTCTAAATTTGAACCCATTTTCATGAAACTTAGCACAAATTATTACAGACCCAAATGTCAGTACGCTATGCCCAATTTCGTGCAAATCGAAAGATATATAGGGTCTTTGGTACACCAATTACCATAAATCGGATGAAAATATATATGGGAGCAATATCTAATCTGGACCGATTGTCACGAAACTTTGCACACATCATTCTAAACTTAATTTAGTACGCTATGCCAATTGTCGTCCAAATCGAAAGATATATAGGGACTTTTGTACACAATTTACCTTAAATCGGACGAAAATATATATGGAAGCTATATCTGAATCTGAACCGATTTTCACGAAACTTAGCATACATCATTCTAGACCTCATTCATTACGCTGTGCCAAATTTCGTGCAAATCGAAATATATATAGGGACTTTTGTACACAATTTACCTTAAATCGGACGAAGATATATGTAGGAGCTATATCTAAATCTGAACCGATTTTCACGAAACTTGGCATACATCATTCTAGACCTTATTCATATATAGGGACTTTGGTACACAATTTACCTTAAATAGGACGAAGATATATATGGGAGCTATATCTAAATCTGAACCGATTTTTATGAAATTTTACACACATCATTCTAGACCTAATTCATTACGCTGTGCCAATTTTTGTGCAAATCGAAAGATATATAGGGACCGTTTACATTAAATCGGACGAAAATATATATGGGAGCTATATCTAAATCTGAACCGATTTTTCCCAATTTCAATAGGGTTCGTCCTTGGGCCAAACAAATGAGCTGTGCCAAATTTCATCCAATTCGGATCATAAATGCGACCTGTACTTTGTTTACAATTTAACATCTACAGACGGACGGACGGACGGACATGCATAAATCGACTCAGAAAGTGATTCTATGCATATTCTCAAAAGGAACCATGGGTCTATCTCGATTATTTTTGCCTGTTACAAACATATGCACAAAGACATAATACCCTGTACCACAGTGTGGTGAAGGGTATAAATACGATTGCGGTGCTCCACACAAAGCATCAATCGCCATTTTTGGTCTTCATAGACGAGCTGAATCCAACGAAAGTTGTTTGCAGAACGAAGTTGTTCGCCTAGTTGGTTAAGTGCTGACTGTTCCGTTTCACTGGATTAAGATGGTTAATTCTGAGTAATACACCACAATATTTTTACATGAAGTCTTAGCAGAAATTTGAAAAACGAACAAGAGAAGAGTAGTCATTGTGCCCGCGCCTTTTTGTTTGATCAAAACGTGGAATTGATGGATTATCTGCGGAAATCATTGGCATCCAATTCTGACCATTTTGTGAAGGAGGTAACAGAGGGATTGGACCGATATTCCTAAATTTGGAAGAAATGTTATGACGTTTGGATAAAATCAGTTACGCCCTTTGAGAGTAGACAGACGGAAGAACTTTTGTAAATCTACTCCAAATTGTTTGAAACGGATTTGGTCTATAGAAACAAGGATCTAAAACCAATATTCCGATGAGGCCTCATTAGCTAAAATTCTGAAGGTATAAAAATGTATAATATTCGGTCACTCACATTATTCGGTATTTTATTGAGTTGGGTACGAAAAATTGGGTGTAATTTGATACTTTTTTTGTTCTCAAATAAATTTTATTCAATATTTTCATAAACATTAACAATGTGGCTCGCGCACAAATTGACCAAACTTTGCACAACATATTGTCTTTACCAGGCCCAGATTAAGTTTGAAGATAGGACACATTGGTCCACTCGTTCTGGTACCTCTCTCACAAATGATCGAAATCCAATATAAGGCTAATGGAATGTCCGATTTGAACCAAGTTTTGCACAACCTATTACCTCTACCAAGTCTAGATCAAGTCCGACGATGGGACCCATTGGTCCACTCCTTCTGGTACCTAAGGTTGAGAGTATAAAAAATGTGTCTTCAGGGATTGCTAATATTATTCGTGAAAGGTAAAAGACAAGCTATTGACAGTGAACTCAAAATTTCCTTTTAGCTGGACGAATTTATTTTTAGCTTGAGACTGGACAAGCACCAAAAAGATGGTCAATCCAGGCAAGTGGATTTTTAAAGAATATTTTTTTTTCTGGGGTCCATATTAGGCATGGATTTGTTAAAGAATATGTTTCTAGAGTCTATACAAGGCGTGAATTTTTTAAAGAATATTTTCTAGTGCCTATACAAGGAGTGGCTTTTTTTTAAAGAATATTTTTTCTGGGGTCTATATGAGATATGGATTTGTTAAAGAATGTTTTTTTCTGGGGTCTATATCAATCATGAATTTTGTAAAGAATATTTTTCTATGGTCTATACTCCTTAAAAATTTACTTCTCATAACCCTATATTTACAATACTTGATTCCGATTTTTAAAGTATGTTGTTAATTATTTATCGGCAATCATGACAGCAAAACAAATAGTTCAAAATAGTTCATTTTTGCAAATTAGCTAATCCAAACAAATTGGTTTTAATGACATCATCTTGACAATAACAACAACTCAAGCAAATCATAGCAAAGAAACTAAATGGCTTATAACTGCAACTTGCGTGGTTGCAATCTATGCATGATGGCTCGAATAGGTCAATCAACTAAAAACCTAACAATAGCAATAACAACAACTACAAAAACTATTAATGATTTAAAACTCAAAAACATCAACAGAATCGTCAACACATAAAATTTCAAAACACTTTACAAAGTGTTTCAAAACAGTAACCAAATTTGGATGAATTTGCGTGGTTACTTTAATTTCCAAATAAAAAAAAAAACATCTCCATATTTTTGCAAAGATACACTCCATAGATTTGTAATTCCTCTCTATTGGCGGGCAATGAATAATCCCACCACTTGAGTGGCTTCTAGGCAATATTAGCCACTTAACAGTGGCCACTTATAAGGTGTTCTTTTAGAATTCGCAATAATTCAATATTAAGAGATTATCTGCAGCACTTGAATGGAGGTTTTACATATTTTGGAGATGTACTTCAGAAATATTTTGCGTTTAACAAAAAAATATTCAAATAAATCATTTGGCTACTGCCACACACACTTACTGGTTATTAATGTATCCGGATCGGCTAGCTTCTCACTTGCACTTTTATCGTGTTCATGAACTTTTTTGCGCAATTTTTTCAAGTAGGCCTCTTTGTATTCTTCGCTTGGTTTACCACCCAAACCATAGCTGACTTCAACGGCCGTTAATGGTATGACTGTCGAGGAGACCGGCACCAAATCTGTTAGATAAGAACAACAAAAAAAAACAACAATAACAAAAATTGTGTTGTATATAAAAACAAGTTTTGCAAGAACAACAATAAAAAATTACAAATAAAATATACGATTTGGAAAAAAAAAAAATACGAATACCACTTGTTATGGCATCTATGAGAATGTCAGATTCAACAAGTAAATCCTACGCTTTTAAAATCGCAACATATCATGCTAATGTTGAATCGCAAAAAAAAGGTCTAGACCATATTTGGCAAAGCAGTATAACAGCTTTTCAAATGGTTGTAAGAAAAAAGCTTGGAAAGCGTGTATTTTTTAAAGAATATTTTTCTAAACCCGTCTATACAAGGCGTGGATTTTTTAAAGAATATTTTTCTGAGCTCATCCATCTATACAAGGCGTGGATTTTTTAAAGAATATTTTTCTGAGCTCATCCATCTATACAAGGCGTGGATTTTTTAAAGAATATTTTTCTGAGGTCATCCATCTATACAAGGCGTGGATTTTTTAAAGAATATTTTTCTGAGGTCATCTATACAAGGCGTGGATTTTTTAAAGAATACTTTTCTCAGGTCATCTATACAAGGCGTGGATTTTTTAAAGAATATTTTTCTCAGGTCATCTATACAAGGCGTGGATTTTTTAAAGAATATTTTTCTAGGGTCTTCTATATAAGGCGTGGATTTTTTAAAGAATATTTTTCTAGGGTCTTCTATATAAGGCGTGGATTTTTTAAAGAATATTTTTCTAGGGTCTTCTATATAAGGCGTGGATTTTTTAATGAATATTTTTCTGAGCTCATCCATCTATACAAGGCGTGGATTTTTTAAAGAATATTTTTCTGAGGTCATCCATCTATACAAGTCGTGGATTTTTTAAAGAATATTTTTCTGAGGTCATCTATACAAGGCGTGGATTTTTTAAAGAATATTTTTTTCTGAGCTCATCTATACAAGGCGTGGATTTTTTAAAGAATATTTTTTTCTGAGCTCATCTATACAAGGCGTGGATTTTTTAAAGAATATTTTTTTCTGAGCTCATCTATACAAGGCGTGGATTTTTTAAAGAATATTTTTTTCGTGGATTTTTTGAGCTCATCTATACAAGGCGTGGATTTTTTAAAGAATATTTTTTTCTGAGCTCATCTATACAAGGCATTTTTTAAAGAATATTTTTTTCTGAGCTCATCTATACAAGGCGTGGATTTTTTAAAGAATATTTTTTTCTGAGCTCATCTATACAAGGCGTGGATTTTTTAAAGAATATTTTTTTCTGAGCTCATCTATACAAGGCGTGGATTTTTTAAAGAATATTTTTTTCTGAGCTCATCTATACAAGGCGTGGAATATTTTTTTTTTTATACAAGGCGTGGATTTTTTAAAGAATATTTTTTCTGAGCTCATCGATACAAGGCGTGGATTTTTTAAAGAATATTTTTTTCTGAGGTCATCCATCTATACAAGGCGTGGATTTTTTAGAGAATATTTTTTTCTGAGGTCATCCATCTATACAAGGCGTGGATTTTTTAGAGAATATTTTTTTCTGAGCTCACCTATACAAGGCGTGGATTTTTTAAAGAATATTTTCCTTATTCGATCGATATGACATCAATTAAAATTTTGACAATTTTGCAAACCATAACCCTCTGGTAGATTCCCACCTCCATGTAACCCTAATTGAGGAAAACATAAATATTTGTGTGAATACCAACCTCTTTCGAATTTATCGTCCGGATTGCGTTTGTACATCATGGGAGTTGAGCAAACATAATTGCACATTAACGTCACGACTACGGCAACGATGACAATTAAATGCTTGTAAATATTACTTTTGATTTCTTTCATCTTTGAAGCGTGTTACCACTAAAGCTGCTGCTATCGCTGATGATGATGGTGCTCCGACAAAGCTTCACTGTTTTTTGCTGAACGTAATTTTTTGTTTGAGTTTTGGATTTCTGCTGCTAAGTGATTTTTTGCAGTCGTATTTATTTTCGTTAAAAATTTCAGGGAACTTTGTGGGCTATTGTGGAAACCGCAGAGAAAAATCAAATGGCTTTGCTATATTTCTTGCAGGGTGTGATGATGCGGTTTGTTGACTCTTTATTTTTTCGATTTTTTTTTTTCCTTTTTGTGGTGTTTTAAATATTTACAAAATTTTGATTGTTGTCTAAACAATTCATTACATGGAAATTTTGCAAACAAACTTTTGTTTTTCAATTCGAATTTTTTATTTAAATTTCAAAACTGGAATGTTGTTCCATCCCGCTGTGAATGCAATTTACGGCACCCCACTAGTTGTCTTTGTTTTTTATTTTTCGCGAATTTTGAAATACAAGAACACTTAGCACTATTCCCGCTGTCACACAGCTACCGAACGTTTAGTGGTACAAACGTAAAAAAAATTGAGATTAAATTTAAAATTGCGATCTCCGCCTCTAGTCTAAGCGTCTAACTTGTTTAAAAGCTTTCGTTTAACTGAAGTCGGTTACATTTGTGGCATGTGTCTTTAAGCCATGGCCAAAGAGTTGAAATAAAAAGCTTTCAATTCGCTTGTTTGAATTTTTTGCAAATAACCATTTGAGACTTGTCACAACACAATCCATGTTCACGATCATAAATAAAAGCGAAATTAATCTGCTTAGAAAATCGAGAAAAAAAACTTCATACCGAACCAACTAGCAAACAATACGTAATTGTTCTTTTTTTGCAAATCTTACTTTCATAGATTTTCATGTTGTCCGGACTTTTCGATAAACATCAGCTCAACGTAATTTATTTGAGAATGTCAATTATGTGTTAAAGTGTTAATTAATTCTCAATGATACTGTTCTAGTATATTATTGGTTCATATACTCGTTGTTTGTTTGGTGTTTTTTTTTAATTTATTCACTTCTTGAATTGAATTTCTATTCTGTCCCAATTTTTTACACCATCTCAGATGTGGTTTTCTATTACCATTGGATGGATTAATTCTTGACCATTGAAGTTTATACACGACATGACAACGGCAGTCACGTACAAGTGATTTGTAATTCTATTGTTTGATATGTTTAATTGGCATATTTAAACTGTTTTGAAACATAAATTGAGAACTTTTGAATTGAATGAAAAAATTGTCTTTAAAAAATCCACGCCTTGTATAGATGAGTTCAGAAAAATATTCTTTAAAAAATCCACGCCTTGTATAGATGAGTTCAGAAAAATATTCTTTAAAAAATCCACGCCTTGTATAGATGAGTTCAGAAAAATATTCTTTAAAAAATCCACGCCTTGTATAGATGAGTTCAGAAAAATATTCTTTAAAAAATCCACGCCTTGTATAGATGAGTTCAGAAAAATATTCTTTAAAAAATCCACGCCTTGTATAGATGAGTTCAGAAAAATATTCTTTAAAAAATCCACGCCTTGTATAGATGAGTTCAGAAAAATATTCTTTAAAAAATCCACGCCTTGTATAGATGAGTTCAGAAAAATATTCTTTAAAAAATCCACGCCTTGTATAGATGAGTTCAGAAAAATATTCTTTAAAAAATCCACGCCTTGTATAGATGGATGACCTGAGAAAAATATTCTTTAAAAAATCCACGCCTTGTATGGATGAGCTCAGAAAAATATTCTTTAAAAAATCCACGCCTTGTATAGATGAGTTCAGAAAAATATTCTTTAAAAAATCCACGCCCTGTAAAGATGAGTTCAGAAAAATATTCTTTAAAAAATCCACGCCTTGTATAGATGAGTTCAGAAAAATATTCTTTAAAAAATCCACGCCTTGTATAGATGACCTGAGAAAAGATTCTTTAAAAAATCCACGCCTTGTATAGATGACCTCAGAAAAATATTCTTTAAAAAATCCACGCCTTGTATAGATGACCTCAGAAAAATATTCTTTAAAAAATCCACGCCTTGTATAGATGGATGACCTCAGAAAAATATTCTTTAAAAAATCCACGCCTTGTATAGATGGATGAGCTCAGAAAAATATTCTTTAAAAAATCCACGCCTTGTATAGATGGATGAGCTCAGAAAAATATTCTTTAAAAAATCCACGCCTTGTATAGATGGATGAGCTCAGAAAAATATTCTTTAAAAAATCCACGCCTTGTATAGATGGATGAGCTCAGAAAAATATTCTTTAAAAAATTCCACGCCTTGTATGGATGAGCTCAGAAAAATATTCTTTAAAAAATCCACGCCTTGTATAGATGGATGAGCTCAGAAAAATATTCTTTAAAAAAACCACGCCTTGTATAGATGGATGAGCCTGAGAAAAATATTCTTTAAAAAATCCACGCCTTGTATAGATGGATGAGCTCAGAAAAATATTCTTTAAAAAATCCACGCCTTGTATAGATGAGCTCAGAAAAATATTCTTTAAAAAATCCACGCCTTGTATAGATGGATGAGCTCAGAAAAATATTCTTTAAAAAATCCACGCCTTGTATAGATGGATGAGCTCAGAAAAATATTCTTTAAAAAATCCACGCCTTGTATAGATGAGCTTAGAAAAATATTCTTTAAAAAATCCACGCCTTGTATAGATGAGCTCAGAAAAATATTCTTTAAAAAATTCCACGCCTTGTATAGATGAGCTCAGAAAAATATTCTTTAAAAAATCCACGCCTTGTATAGATGGATGACCTGAGAAAAATATTCTTTAAAAAATCCACGCCTTGTATAGATGGAGGACCTGAGAAAAATATTCTTTAAAAATCCACGCCTTGTATAGATGGATGACCTGAGAAAAATATTCTTTAAAAAATCCACGCCTTGTATAGATGGAGGACCTGAGAAAAATATTCTTTAAAAAATCCACGCCTTGTATAGATGAGCTTAGAAAAATATTCTTTAAAAAATCCACGCCTTGTATAGATGAGCTCAGAAAAATATTCTTTAAAAATCCACGCCTTGTATAGATGGATGACCTGAGAAAATTTTTCTTTAAAAAATCCACGCCTTATATAGATGGCGCTAGAAAAATATTTTTTAAAAAATCCACGCCTTGTATAGATGGATGACCTGAGAAAAATATTCTTTAAAAAATCCACGCCTTGTATAGATGGAGGACCTGAGAAAAATATTCTTTAAAAAATCCACGCCTTGTATAGATGGCCCTAGAAAAATATTCTTTAAAAAATCCACGCCTTGTATAGATAGATGAGCTCAGAAAAAATATTCTTTAAAAAATCCACGCCTTGTATAGATGGCCCTAGAAAAATATTCTTTAAAAAATCCTCGCCTTGTATAGATAGATGAGCTCAGAAAAAATATTCTTTAAAAAATCCACGCCTTGTATAGATGGATGACCTGAGAAAAATATTCTTTAAAAAATCCACGCCTTGTATAGATGACCTGAGAAAAATATTCTTTAAAAAATCCACTACTTATATAGACCCTAAAAATTCCGATTAACCAACATATGAAGAATTGTCAACAGTATATGGGTATATGCCGTACCACCCACCCATCCCTAATATTAACACATTAATATCCTTTCTAATACATGTAAACACCTTATAACACATCTTACATACGAAAACATATTGTGTACACACTCGCACACACAATTATACATATTGCTATTTATGAATATAAAATGTAATTATCGATATATTTATGTTTTAATATTTACGAACATTTTGTCTGAATTATTAACGTAAACTAAGACTAGTGTGGATGAAGGGTGTGTGGGGGACATCATGGAGCAGACGTGTTTGTTATTTCGGACCATGGTGTGAATTTTCGAAGAGGTCAAAGCCAACGAACAGCAAACAGAAACCGAAAGAGGTCAAAAGCCCATGGCCAATAATGTGTTTATGTTTGTTTGGACGTGTGTGTGTGACTATGTACACACAGGATCTAAACACGTCCATAATATAAATAAGGATAAATATACGAAAATCCAAATAAGTATCTTTAAGCGATGAGATTAAATTTGAAGGAGTTGTTGTAGTTCGTGTTGTTGTTGGTGTAGCTGAATGCGTGAGAAGTATTTTTTTCGGTTTTGACTTAAATAAATGCGAATGTTTACGGAAAGCTAAGGCAAGAAAAAATATACTCGTATCAAGTAAGGTGCGCAATTATACGAATGAGTTTTGTAGTTATTTGTGTATGTGTGGGTTTGTTTGTTTTTTTTTTTTTTGGCAAGTATGTGATGGGAATTAATTTAATAGTTTGAGAATTGAATAAATAAGATGTAGATGTTTTCTCGAAGGGTATTACATTTGTCATATTGAAGATTAAGGGTAGGAGAATTGTAAATATAAACATGAACGTTACTAAATATAGACAATAACAAGGATTACTGATCTGACAGCCATAATAATTAGGATTATGATGGGGAAAAATATACTTATAAACTTTATCAAATTTTTATATAACTCATAAGAATGTAGGTAATTTCGACAAAGCCGAACTTTTAATGCCTCTCTATTATGGTATGGACATAAAAATATATATGAGCCATTGTAAACAGGCGTGGATTTTTTAAAAACACTTTTTCATGGTCTAGATATAGGCGTGGATTTTTTTAAAATACTTTTTCATGGTCTAGATATAGGCATGGATTTTTAAAAATACTTTTTCATAGTCTTTTTGTTTTTGCAAAATAGTCAGGCTTAATCCCAGTTTGTTGTTTTTATAAAAAAACAACTATTTATTAGTGGGAATGTATGGCATTGTCAGCCGAGGGGTAAGGCAGGGAAGACTATAGTTTCGGATCTCGCCACTGATCCTCATCAGTTCCCTTAGTTTTTTGTTGGGATATTCTCCCCAGAAGCTATTAATAGCTTCTTTACAAAAAACCTTTCAAACCCAAATGTCTCTTGTGACAATTCGAAGTTCTTACGTTACCAGCGATA